TCTCTGAGGAGGGAGTAGTCATCCTTTCGTTCATTTTAATGTGGGAAGGAAGTGAAGTTGACCTCTCTTCCCTTTATTGAGGAAGGAGGTGTAGTCGGCTTCTTATGAGTTTCACTCAGCTCGGGCCCTTTTTGATGTAGAACAGGTCGCTTACAATTATCTGAGCATATAGGATCATCGCAAATCAGGGAGGCTAAAACGGTAAGGAGAATAAAAGAAAAAAAAAAATAAGTAAGGAAAAGTCAAAAGGAAATTTGGTGTAGTTGCCAACAATAGAATATATTTTTCTCCATTGGAAGAATTAAGGAGGATTCAGAAAATAAATAAGAAGATTTGAGTAGTTGCCAACAATAGATTATATTATTCTCCATTGCAAGATTTAAGGAGGATTCTGCTCCATCAAATCTCAGATTTCCCCTTTATTATTATTTCACGCATGCTTTCTTTTTTTATTTTATTTTTGACTTGCCTATATAAATGCAAGAGATGTAAGTCTGCAGACATCATCATTATCAATATAATTTCAGAGTCTCTCTTGTGAGTGTTTTTTGTGAATTCAAGGGTTTAACCTTGTTCTTTATCGTTTCCGCTACGTTAATTGGTATCAGAGCAAGGTTCCGAATCCAATATTCACCTTTGTTTTTGATGGCCAGTTCACGAGATGGAAGCAACCCCTCTAGCGACGGTGATCGTGATGGAGTAGCTCTTTTGAGGGCTGAGTTTACCGAGTTCCAGACCAACGTTAATCGAACCTCACTGTTCCAAACCAACGTCAATCGATATTGGAGCCAATATCATCAATCACAGTTCCTTTTCTTGTGGACCAGCAGACTGAGGTCTTTGAATATCTCGTTCACCTCACTGTTTTGTTACTGGATTTCATGCATTCCCTGATTCCTTTCATCAATAATTGCCTCATTAAAGACATTCTCATTATGAAATATCAATACCTCTTGTCTTCTAGATTCCACAAGAAGAGCACGTCATTGTGCAGTCTTGTTTGAATTTATGTCAACCTCACTGGCTGTATTGCTGGAAGGAAGAATTGACTGCGAAACAAAAGGTGTATATGCTTATGATCAAGGGGGCGGGGAATTGATGGACGTGGATTGGGTTTCCACAGACGGCGCCAACTTTTGATGAAAAAATCAGCATGGTCCAAAGCTGGGAGCCAATCTTGCAAGACAAGAAAAGTGATGACCGGGGTGGTGCCGGCTGGGTGCACTTCACGGTCAAGTTAATACTTGAGCCGTTAAAAGTCAAAGCAAGACTATATTTAATTTTTGGCGTACCTTTTTAGGTTAATTGTCGACTCCTTTTATAGAGCATTAATGATGGTATTGTTCTGTCACGAAACCGATTTCTTTTCCTTGTCCATCATGAATTAGAAGAGTTATCAAAGAGGGTGTTGGTAGTTATTTCTACCTCCTTGAATTTATTTATACCCTTTGGATTTCCTTGTCGCTTAGACTTCATAACCAGTCAAATATTCCATGTCAGAGAGTCCTTTTACAGAGGAGGAGGTTTTGAAGGCTTTGAAGAGTTGTAATGGTGACAAAGCTCCAGGTCTAGATGGTTTCACAATTAGGTTTTTATTGGAGAGCGTGGTTAGACAGGAGGTTATGGGCACTTTTCATGAGTTCCATTCTAATGGGAAGTTCGAAAAGTCGTTGAATGCATCTTTTATTGCTCTAATTCCTAAGAAGGGTGGTGCTTTTAACGTTAATGATTTTATACCAATAAGTCTGATTGGGTGTATCTATAAGCTTATCGCTAAAGTCCTCACGTTAAGATTGAGGGAGGTTTTGGATGGAGTCATCTCTGAATCTCAAAATGCGTTCATTGGGCAGACAGATCCTGGATTTTGCTCTCATTGCCCGTGAATGTGTGGATTATAGGCTCAGTAGCAGTGTTCTTGGAGTTTTGTGTCAGCTTGATATTGAGAAAGCCTATGATTATGTTTGTTGGAATTTTTTGTTTTATCTGTTAGAGAGGATGCTTTTTGGAGAGAGATGGATCGACACGTGTGTTTCCTCTGTCAGATTTTCTGTGTTGGTGAATGGGTCTCCATCAGGGTTTTTTTTTTTTGCAGTTCTCGTGGTTTGAGGCAAGGGGACCCACTCTCCCCATTCCTGATCATTATTGTTCTGGAGGCTCTTAGTAGGTTGATGAGAAGGGTTGTGGATTTGGGATTTATCAGGGGTTTCAGGATTGGTTCAGATTCAGTTCAGCAGATGGAGATCTCTTACCTGCTTTTCGCGGATGACAGTCTGGTTTTCTATGAGGTAGATGTGTCCTAACTGAGATATTTGAGATGTGTCTTTGTCTACTTTTAGGTAGTCTCAGGTTTGAAAGTCAACTTGGGCAAGAGTGTGCTTGTTCCTGTGGGTTCAGGAGGTGGCTTCTCTTGCAGCGGTTTTAGGGTGTGGGGGGATGAGCTCCTTCCCTATTTCTTACTTGGGCTTGCCGTTGGGTGATTCGTCAAGGAGGGTGGGAAGTTGGGACCAGGTGATAGAGCGTTTCGAGAGAAGGTTGGTTGGGTGGAAAAAGCAATATCTTTCGAAGGGAGGGAAAGTTACTTTGGTGAAGAGTACATTGTCCAGTCTTCCAACTTATTTTCTTTCGCTTTTCCAGATCCCCTCCTCTATTGTTGGAAGACTTGAGATGCTTCAACGGAACTTCCTCTAGGGCGGACGGGGGGAGGAGTTTAAATTTCATCTTGTTCGATGGGAGCAGGTCTACGGACCCTTTAAGTTTGGCGGTCTTGGATTAGGAGATTGGCCCCTTTCAACAGAGCTCTCCTAGGCAAGTTGTTATGGAGATTTGGTAGCGAAAGACATAGTTGATGGAGGAAGGTTGTTTCATGTTGCTTTGGGGAGGAGGGGGGGGGATGGTCATCTAGGCCGGTCAAATCTGCCGTCGGTGTGGGGGTGTGGAAATCCATTAGAAAGGGATGGGATGAGTTCTGTAAGCATATTAAATTCAGAGTTCAGGAAGGAAGGGCGTCCGGTTTTAGGAGGGTACTTGGTGTGAGAATCGCCCATTGTCTTGTTTGTTCCCAATGTTGTTCAGGATTGCTGTTGATAGACATGCTTTGGTGTTATCGACTCGATAGCGGTAGACTGTCTTGGGATGTGCAGTTCCGGTGATCCTTTCAGGATTGGGAGTCGGACGATGTCACTAGCTTGCTGGACCTTTTGTATAGACAGGAGGTGGATGTTACTGGTTCGGATTCCTTGACTTGGGTACCTTATTCGTATGGGACTTTTCAGGTCCGTTCTTTTTTTTTTTATTTTATTTTTTTTTTCAGTCTCTCCGGGTTTCACGGTTCGAATTTCCCGTGGAAAACGGTTTGAAATTCGAAGGCTCCTTTAGGGTGGCCTTTTTTGTTTGGACTGCAGCTTGGGGCAGGATCTTGACTTTGGACAATTTGTGAAAGAGAAGACAAATCATAGTCAACCGGTGTTGTCTGTGGAAGAAGGATGGAGAGTCTGTGGATCACCTTCTTTTGCATTGTCCCGTGGCTCATGATTGCTGGAGTCTTATTTTGGGTCTGTTTGGCGTCCAAAGGGTTATGCCTCGGAGTTCGAGGGATTTGATTGACGTATGGAGGGGCCAAAGGGTGGGGGCTCATGCTCGTGACTATTGGAGGGTGATCCCCCTTTGTGTTTGGTGGACTCTTTGGAAAGAGCGGAATAGAAGATCTTTTGATGGGGAGGAATTCTCCATTGGGGCGTTGAAGTTTTCTATTATTTGTTCTTTGTTTAGTTGGGCTATGGGGAGAAATTGTATATCTTTAGATGAAATCGTGGACTTTTTGGGTTCTTTGAGTCCATAGGAATCCCTTTTTGGGTTTTGGTATTTGTACAGCTCTTGGGACGCGTTCCCCTTTTGAATGATTTCTAATACAATTTTACTTTTCAATATATATATATATATATTCAGTTACCTAACTAAAATTCTGTCTCGATTGCAATCAAACAAACACATAAAACTTTAAATAAATATATATATTTTTTTGATAAGTAAAATTTTATTAAAGAGCGCTTAAGAGGGGCACGCACCCGAATACAACTGCACAAAAAGCCAACAAGGGCCACTATACTCACAAACTATCCACGCTTCCTCCACAGATTTACAATTCTACTTGTGAACCCAAAACAAATAAAATAATGGAGAATTCAAGTACCAAAATAGGAACCTCTTCTTCATCAAGGACCTCCTATTTCTCTCCGGCCACAAACCCCACCACAAGCAAAGGAGAGCTGCCCTCCAAGCATCTTGGGCTTGATTTTCCTCTATAAATCCTCTCCAAGCCTCAAACATGCTCTTCGTGGAATTCGGCATTGAGCCAATGAACACCAAAAATAGCAAAAAGCATAGCCAAACTGTCCCTGGCCACTAGACAATTCAAAAGAAGATGATTTATTGATTGCTCTTCCCTTTTTCACATACAATACCAATTTACTATAAAGTAGAGACACAAGCTTTTTACCTGAAAAACTTAGTAAGGAGAAAATCACAAAACCTTGTCTAGCCATAAACATCCACTACGAGAAAGAAGTTTTACAACCATGTTACCAGATTCTCACCTTAGAATTCCCTAGTTACCTGTTGACGCTTACATATGCCAAGCTTCCCACTCGAAACTCCAAGCCGCTGCTCCGTCAACGGATCCGCTCCTCATGCGATCTCCTTCTCCATGGTTGTTCAATCCTTTAGCGTTTGTCGGTTGATTGCTTTTATTTTGTTGTCTCTTATGTGCTCGCTTCTTTGAATTCCTCAATCACATATAGCATGATTCTATGGTGAACCCTAGGCCTTGTAACCTCCATTTATGGTCACTTTTAAGTATTCTTTTGCAAGGCTAGTAGTTTTGAGTTTTGCTTTTCTGGTTGCATTCCGTTTATAATTCATGAGCCAGTTTATTTTGTCTCTCTGAAGTATGAATTTTTGTTTTTATAAGCTTCAGTCCACATTGATTGACACTTCTGTTTCAGGTTGATCCTGGTAAAGCTGGGACACAGTATGATAAGGAGTTCGTTGTGTGCTCGTTGGACCTCCTCTCAGGACTTGCAGAAGGTCTTGGTAGTGGGATAGAGAGTTTGGTAATCCCCTTTCTCAAAAGATTTTCTTATTAGGAAAAATACGAGAGAAGATGCTTTTATCAAAAAAAAATTATCTGCCTGTTCTCGTTGTTTCTTTCTTTCCTTTTATGTGTGAGTGTATGTGGATAAGTAAAGGTTCATTAAAAGGCCTTCGTTTTTTCTGTTTTGGAAATGGGAAATCTCTCTCCCCTCTCTCATGTGCTCGGTCTTGAAAAGCTTTTTCTAGTAAAGGGGGCACGGGATGTACGCAAATGATGTTGTCTGATAAGTGTAAATAAAAAGGGGTTGTGTGTTTGACAACCAATGAATACTAGAAGCCTTTTTTTGCTTCCTTTGTATTCTTTATACGACATCATCTTTTGTGTCAAGAAAAGATGCAAAATAACTATGGCTAGGTTATAGTAATGATTAATCTGTTCATAGCTACATTTTCTGCTCCCACATTATAACATTTGTGGCAGGCCTGGTACTTTATATTCTTCCTGCACAAATATGGACATTCCCCATACTGTTAAATATTGCTTAAACAAACTTCCACAATACAGCTCAATGAAGCTTGAAATCCCAATTCCTTTATATTGACTGCAACAACAGACTATCAGAATGGAAATTTTCGGTTGTGCATTAACACTTGTTCATATGTTCTGTCATGAATTCTTCTGCAGGTTTCACAAAGTAGTTTGAGGGACCTGCTTCTGCAGTGTTGCATGGATGATGCTCATGATGTTCGGCAAAGCGCCTTCGCATTGCTTGGTGACCTTGCGAGGGTAAGTTGAGAATACAATCATTAAAAAGCTTAATTCTAAGCCTAATGGCCAAGGCTTCCACCCTACCACTTTACCTGCCAGTGTGTTATAATAACTTGAGCCTTGTAACTCCTATGTGAGGAAAATACGACTAGGCCACAGGGTCAGTGGTAGATACTCAAAGCTTTTTTAGACTTTTTAGCAGTTCTATATTTTTTGTTTTAAATGTAGTCAATGTTGCTTTGATGATTAGGTATGTCCCATTCATTTGCGCCCACGTTTGTCTGAATTTCTTGATGTTGCTGCTAAACAACTGGTAAGAAGAAACTCATGTATGATTGGTTGCATTACTTTGTTCCATCATTTACACACAAGCTTTGTACAGAACACACCAAAGCTGAAGGAAACTGTTTCTGTGGCGAATAATGCATGTTGGGCTATTGGAGAATTAGCAGTTAAGGTAGATTCACCTCTCTAAGCTTCATTTTGTCCAATCCAGATTATTTTGCTTTCTAATGCACCATTCTAAAGGGTCATTACCAAGTGTGCTTCTTGTTAATCGAGGGTCTATAAGGGGGCAGACAGGAAAATGACCTTTGACTTTGGCAATGTCCCCCTTGATGCACCATTCTATATTTTGAAATTAGTTAATTATAGCATTGGAAGAATGTGTCTTGCATTGAACTTGAGAGTGCTTTTGTTGAATACCAAATTTGCGCACTTCTAATTTATCTTCTTTGGTGGTTTTCTGTGCTGCACAAGAACAAATGGGTATGACACGCGAATAATATAAAAATTATGGTTCCATTAATTTACTGTTATACATATTCTGAAACTAGTTGGCTAAGAAGCACGGGCGCATCTGTGAAAGTGTGAAGGTGACATGTCCAGTCCGGACATGTATTGAACACCGGCATTTTTGAACATTCCCAGATGTGTCCGACACCTCATGAATCTGTTCATATTTCAATTTAATTTCTCTATTTCGGACACTTGGCCAACATGTCTAGACACTCTCCAAAACAAGCTGTGTAGTACAAACAAATCTTAAAAGGAGTTGTACCCAACAATCTTGGAAACAAGACTACACCGAAAAATTCCAAACTCTCTCTTTAAAAAAAAAAAGTTGGCATTTTGTTATACAAATGGTCATCACAAATCAATCATGTATTACACACTTTTTGATATAGGACAACAATATAAATGTAATAACAATTATATAGTAGGAGAGTAGTAGTTATATATATGTTTAAATCTTTTTTTTATCACATGCAAAGGTAAGGTTGTGTATATCTGACCCTCCCTAGATCCCGCAGTGGTTGGAGCCTTGTGCACTGTGCTGCCATTGTTTTTTATAACTTCATCTTCATATGAAGTAATTCTTAGTATAGAAGTTATAAAATTAATAAAAAAATCTATGATTGTCTTGTATAATAGATGTAGGTATATACGTGGCTTGCCCCTTTCATCATTTGTAAGATGGGTTTAACTTGGTCATTTTGATCAAGATGGATGCAACTGGGCTTTTCTGTATCACATTGTCCATGTCCTACTTTGTTACGATTTGGAATGTTGATGTATCCATGTCATATTTCGTCCATTTTCGGTGTCTGTGTCAATGCTACCTAGTTAGTTGGTCATGAAAGTCCTGCTAAACATATAGTTAATTTTGAGCATGCTGGTTACATCTGCTTCGGCTTTGGGACTATTACTTCTATCTTATAAATTCTTCATATTAGTGGAAGTGGTCTCATCCGGTTGATAAATCTGGATTTTGTAAGAGTGATGCATGCTTGATCGACGAATCTCGTTTTACGCATTTTGCATCACAAATGTTGTTCATGAATTGGTTACAATAATGAAAGTATTAGAATTCATCAACAAACCCTCCACTGAAACAAATGACTAAATTTGATATGGAAAGTGGTCATCTTGTTTTGCATATGTTTTTATTTATTTAACGTTTTTTGTGGGTCGGTGGGTAGATATGGAGAAGGGGGAGGGGTGATATTGCTTTGTATATATTCTTCATAGTTTAAAATCTATATACTGCCTATGGTACATTTGATATTGTGAGTTGTGCAGCGGAATAGGATGTGGAAGTTTCTATTTAAAAATAATCTAGATGGGTGGTGAATAGGTTTTACGTGCTCCTTTATCCAATTTTACTTATTTTAATTTTACCGAAATAAAACTAAAATCAAACCCACAAAGCAAAAATAAAGTGCAAGTAAAGTGAATAAAGTTTAAGAGTTGACACTGAAATTTTTAGCGAGGAAAACCCGGCTGGTGGAAATCAACCAATCGTTATGGGAAATACCTCGTGGACTATGTCATCCAGAGTAAAATGATCTACTATGTTTGAAGCAAAGTACACTGAACTTTGACTCAGGCTTGCACCTTATCGTTCTATCAAAAACCAACTATTGACAATCCTGGCTTTGCGACTCCCCCGTCCAACAGCTCTCAACCTCAGGCTTAGTCTTGATCTCTGTAGAAGGATTGCTAGTAGATTAAACAATACTTCACGAATGCTTTGACCCCCATCAAAGTCTGATCGAATCGCCCCTTTTCTTCAATTCTGAATTTAATGAAGAACAATTAAATCCTGCTTCTCGAAATCTCTGAATCTTCAATTATGCTCCAATTCCGATCAGATAGAGAACATCACTCCTAAATCACTCGTGTTTATGTGTGTGCTCTCAAAAATAAAATCAGAAAAATCAGATTGATTTTCTGAATAAAATCTCTCTCAAACAATTCACTCATTTAGAAAAATATATATTTTCAAGCCCTAAAAATTTAAGAGAGAAAACATATATTTATAGACTTTTGAAAACCTAATTGTACTCGGGAAACAAGTCAATTTCGTGCATATCCATTATGGCAAAAGTTTATGCAAAATAGGAAGTCAAAACAAACAAGGAAACAGAGTTTTCAAGAAGGTTTAAAGGACTTGAACTGGTTCAGGAATTCTTGAACCGGTTCAAGTAGGCCAGAAGCTAAAATAAAATTCAGCTTTACACTTGGAATCTGTTCCAATAAAACTTGAACCAGTTCAAGTTAGGCAGAATGTAAAACTTCCCAAAAGCCTAATTTTGAACCTCCAAAGTGTCATCACACACTCACTTACCTTCCTAAAGTATTGTTCTCATCATCACGGAGTGCATCGAAGCATGAACACGATCACTTCTCCAATTCCACTTCCGATCTTGATTCTTGACAAATCAAACTGAAAATTTAGAACTCAATTGGACTCGTTTTGACAACGAAATTTGCCGACTACAAATTTATATCTCATAGATATCTCTTTCAATAATTTGCCTTACCATTATCAAATCATGGACTCATCTGATAAATGAATTTTACAATATTAAATTACGGAAAAATCTTACTTTTGGCTTCCTACACTATCCAGTGTTCTTACTTGATATATATTTTTGGCATACTAAGATAAATTTTTTTTGTTCTATTCAATTGCAAATCTCCTCATCTCATATTTGTTAAATTATAATAATAGATGGTATGTGCTTGTTTTTTGGTTTATTATTCTGTATCAACAGAAAAGAGCAGAAAATAGAGTGGATGAAAATTAATCGACCTTTTTGTGACCTTTTAATTTCAGGTTCATCAAGATATTTCGCCAATAGTGATGACAGTTGTCTCATGTTTGGTCCCATTTCTTCAGCATGCTGAGGTGATTGTTGTTTCATTACTGTACATGAATGTGTTATGGACTGTGTTATCTTTAATCACATCTATTGATACTGAGTAGGAGCTCAACAAGTCACTTATAGAAAATAGTGCCATCACCCTTGGGAGACTTGCTTGGGTCTGTCCAGAACTTGTATCACCACATATGGAGCATTTCATGCAATCATGGTGTACTGCCTTATCTATGTAAGTGTTTTCTTTTCCCAAAATTCCCAGTGATGGTTTCTTGATGTTAAAAATTGCAAATCAAAACATAATTCGTTAAAGTTAAGTTTAAAATTCATTTATTTAATATTGCACATGTAAATATAATATATTGAAGCCTAAGTGCCACATATGTGATAATTTTATAAGAATTGTTTCAAACATTTTAATCCATTGCTCCTGAATTAATTGTTTGAATGCAACAACAATGCAGCAACTATTTGGATCCCTTCTCCATGCACATCCTTATGCTCTTTGATTTCATGTGGGACCCATTGGATACCACAATCTTGTCATGATCTGATTTGAACAGGTCAAACTCCGTAATTATTTAGGGGAAAAAAAGAAACTTTATATAATCACAGGTTTTCACAATATCAAAAGTTTAGTCACTCATCCCCAAATGATGAGGCCTTCAACTTCACAAAAATGAATTTATTTTGAAAATCTTTCTTTTCTTATTCTAGCGTCATATTCGTCTTCATTAGTTTGCCATTTTTGTGGGCATTTTCTCTCTTGACGTTTAGGGTTGAATGCGACAAAACTTGTTTGTTGTAACCAAGCACAACCTAGAATGGTGGTAACGGCCGAGGGTTGGGGGGTTGTTCTTGTGTTCCTTTCTTACTATTGATCTAAAACAAAAAGTTAAAGAGAAAAGGGAAAGGATGATGGTTTTCTTCTTGTCTTATGAAACTGTCCCTTTGGTTTATGATAGAAGGTCATTATTTGGCCTTGTGTTTTTTTTGAGGATTGTGCTCCCTTTGTAGCCCCTTTTAATACAAATCTTGCTTATCACAAAAAAAAAAAAAAAAAATAACGAAAGGAAGAAAGAAAAAAATGATTGACAAATGATGTGATATATATATTTTTTTTCCTAGTTGGTACTCACACACATGCTTCTATGGAGGCTTGAACCCTTGATCTCCCTTTGGAAAGTAAGGGTCTGATACCTCTAGGCCACTGGCCCGTTGGTAAATGATGCAATATAATGATTAATGAAACATGTGATGAATGGGATCTAATTATTTAACTGGAATTGGAAGTGTCTTTTTGGGGAGTACTAGGCTCTTTTATCTTTTAAGAATATTCTATACTCTACTCATATACTTAATTTTTGGGTTTTATGCGTGAGTGCTTCTTTCTTCATCAGTTTGTGTCACAGACTGACAAAGGACTTTGCTTCCACTAATATTTCATTTTTATTTATATATGGCAGGATACGTGATGATATTGAGAAAGAGGATGCCTTCCGAGGTCTATGTGCAATGGTACACATCAGCTTTCTATATGCTTCCAATTAGGGCTTGAAATGGAGCTGATCTAATGTGAATCTAGATCTGAATCCATATTTTAATGTCAGGATCCAAATCTGGATCGGGTCCTATGTAAGGGTCCATATCCAGCCCATATTATTTAAACAGGATCCATTTAGAGTATACTTGATTCGTGTCAGATCTTGGGTTAGACCCGATCCATTCAAGAACTACATAGGTTCATATCCAGCATGAATCCTTGGCGATTCTTTCAGCGAAGCTCCATATCCAACACGTTTTGAACTTGGATTCAAAATTAAAATAAAATGGACTTCGGATTGGATCCCATTTCGGGTCAAACCTACTCCATTTCAAGCTTTACTTCCAATTAGGCTCAGACAAAAGGCTTAATATTTGCCACGACCGATATCATTTCCTTGCAGGTCAGAGCAAATCCAACAGGGGCTTTGAGTTCACTTGCTTTCATGTGCAAAGCTATCGCAAGTTGGCATGTAAGAGAAGAAATACTGTATTGTTAAGAAAATGATTTGAAAAGAAAATGGAAAAAATGATGCGACTTCTGTCTTTGACCTTATGTTTGTGACAGGAAATAAGGAGTGAAGATCTACACAATGAAGTTTGCCAGGTGTTGAATGGTTATAAACAGGTCGGTGGTGCTTCAGTTCTACAAAATCTTGCTTTTTCTTTATTTTTTATTTCGATTAGTATATATATGTATTTTTTAACTTGAAAAATCTTCATAATTTTACCTAAATGACCCATGGTTGCAATTATCTGGTCATGGAGGTGGTTGTATTAGAAATTTATGATGACTTCTAAACAGGTTGGTGATGCTTTAGTTCTACAAAATCTTGCTTTCTATTTATATTTTATTTAATAATTATTACTCCCTTCCTTAAGTTCTTGGGCTGTTTGGGGAATCCGACTTTTTATGGTAGTGGGTTTTTAATATTTTTTGATTGTATTGATAAGAGTGAATTTCCAAATTTGTCCTTGTTAAAAGACAAAGGAATACTCCATAATTAATGCACTTGTTTAATCAAGTCAATGTCAAAAGGATAGTTTGGGAACATTATAAAATATAGTACATCCATTTTTGGAATGAGACATGTATTTTGGGACATCCAAAAATAGAAAGGTGGACAAGAAATTTGGGATGAAGGGAGTATATATATTTTTTTAACTTGAGAAATCTTCACAATTTTACCTAAATGACCCATAGTTGCAATTATCTGGTCATGGAGGTGGTTGTATTAGAAAATTTTGATGTCTTCTGTGGTGAAACTTTCTGTAAGTTAGCTTATCTTTTTTACAAGCAAGTAAATAAAAAAAAAAAAACAAGCTAATGGGTTACTCCTTGTTCCCGTGAAGTTGATACTGATATGGTAAGTTCACTTATATAATCGGGAAGAAATGCTTGCGTGATCAAATGGGTTACTTGTTCACGTGAAGTCGATACTGATATGGTAGTTAAAATTTATAAAGAAGACTAATCTACGGCCTTATTAATGGATTTAATATTATTTGTATCTAATAAGCCAATCAGAGCAGAGGGATCTAAAAACTAAAAAGCAAGGGTTCGTGACGACCCCAAGAATTTTAAAGCTATTGTATTGTCCTCTGGATTCCCAGCTAGTTCTCAAAGATTACATAGTTGACCTCCCAATATCCTTTATATTTTTACTGTAACCAGCCATTTGGAAAGAAATTTTCAGCACCATACTACTAAATTTTCTTCGTATCTATAGGTAAGATTTCTGGTCTGTCGTGATGCCCAATCAAAGTGGAATTCTTCAGTTTTTACTGTCCTTGCAATTAGTAGTTCATTCATGTGCTCACTCTTGTTTATTTTTATCTGCCATGGGGTAGATATGGCCTATATTGATATGGTCAGTAAACATTCTCGGATGTGGGATTAAATCTTTATTGTGATGGTATTGCTGCTCCTTTACCGAGATCGATTGATAAGATTGTCAATAATTTGAATTTTTGCCTGTAGTTCGCAGGAAACAAAAAACTGATGTTTTCGTGTATTGCCAGATGCTTAGGAATGGAGCATGGGAGCAGTGTATGTCTGTTTTGGAGCCCCCAGTGAAGGACAAGCTGTCCAAGTATCAAGTATAATACCTTTCTTATAATAGATGTTGTCTTCTTTGAGGGTGTCCATCTCCAACAAGTGCTGCTTCAGAGCTTGTACGTCCGCATCTATACTGATGTCAATTCAAGCCTTGTCTGGTTATAGTGGAGCTGTGTTGTAAACACCAACAAATCGTCAAGTTCTTTCACAAGCACCGGCAGGATTCTTGCTCTAGTTTCCATTGAAGCTTGAAGCTATATTTTTTTGTATCCTTCAAAAGTGCCTACAAATTAGAACAGTAGTTGATTTGGGAAAAAGAAATGCAAGGAGCTGAGGGATGGGACTTGGATATGGTGTACAGGGGTGTGGCTTTTCTAGTTTCCAGATTTTTTTTCTTATTCTTTTCCGTCTTTATTGGTGTCCTGAATCTAAAGAAAAGGTTATTCAAGCTTTAGATTCACGTTTCTTCCATCTCAGGTCAGAGTTTTCTTTGTTATACCATTCTAGTGGATAGGTTCCACTCTCCCTGTCTCAGATTTTGTTTTTGTTGCCAGGGGTGTCGATTTTTAATTGCTACCTTGTTCCAATATTTCAGATTTTTTCAGGGAACATTTATTTACCATTTAAGACGTTTCAATTATTGTTTGTTACATGTAATATTTGGATGGTGGGGACAATAAATATGTTCTAGCCTTAGTTTTATGATTACATAGAAGAAAGAGTGTGTTTTAATCAATGAGATGTCTTTAGATATTTAACTATGTGGAAGTTAACTTTGTCCGTGTTTAGACAATTAAATGCATTTAAATACTTGCAGTTATCAACTCTCTTCTTAGATTCCATTTACTTTGACGAAGGAATGTAGAACTGTATAGTTTTGTGATCATCGTACATAATTTAATATTTGTTATTTTATGTTTGGGAGCGTTGAATCTGTACCGTGGATTTGGAATTATTTAAAAGAGAAGCTTGGCATCTCTACGCACTTCTTGTTCTTTCATTCCGGAGAATATGTACCATTGCTTTCTTTCGTTCCGCAACCCATCATCCTGAATTAAAAATGCAATGAGCTGTTCTGCATGACCTAGCTAGATTTGTAAGTTAGCGAAGGAGAAAATACTTTGTTCAGACAAGAATCTCTTGACCCCTACCTTACTTTTGGTGAAAGTGAGACGCAGCCCTAACTTAGCAGCATCAAAGAAATCTCTGAAACTGATTTGAGAGGAAGTTTTGTTTAAACTTTGTACTAAAATTCAAATCTAACGCCCTAATTCGTTTCTGCCAAGCATTGTTGTAATTTTAATTTATTCTTTTCTGTTGCTTTAATTTTACTTCATTGAAAGTTGGGATGTATTATGATGTGAAGCAGGTTGAGGTTGGAAAATTTTCATTTGATTCCAACAATAAATACAGAGCTGTCATCAGACGATAAATATTATTATAAATGCGAAGAGAGGTACATTCCTTTCATCTTGGTCGTTATGGTTTTCAACATATTGTCAAAAAGAAAAAATTTCTATAGTTTTAAAAATAAAATTTCTCTGAAGATAACTCTAAGAATGGGAAGAACCAATTTATGCAACACTGAATAAATGGAAAATGCTTCCCCAATGGTTCATCAATTTTGCTTGCAAAGGTTAAGCGTCGGGGGAGCATTTAAGCTACTGACGACATTGACGAAAAATAGCTAATGCATCCTCAAGTTGTTGATTGTTGGTCTGACCATCAGATCTCATCATCCCATCCGCCCGATTACCATTACAGATCTCATTGTTGAAATTTGCTTCTAAAATCATTGTTGATCGTTCCTCTGACAAATTTGGACTTCATTCAATATTTTGGATAAGGGCTCTCTAATTTCCGTGAATTCTCTGAATATACCAAATAAATAGTACCACTAATAATGAAAATTAAAGCATGTGATAAAACATTGCTATGCAAATATATATATTTATACACATCACACACGAGCAAGTGATTGTTTGAGCTTTCTTTCCATGTTCAAACATCACAAACTAGCATAGCTTTAAACAAGTTCAAATTATGTCACAATATAATTTCTGCAATTGATTTGGGAGGCTGTGCGTGCTATTTCTGATAAAACATTCAAAGTAAAATATGCTTCTGCCGGCATTATAAGAGGTGAGGAGAGTTCACGGCGTTAGGCACTGAATGGTATCTGTACTCGTTGAGCTTGACCATTAAATTCATGGAGTTCTCCTCATAAACAATGTCAGCAGATAGTAGAGGGCGGAGTCAACCGAAGACAGCGCAACAATAAGCAGTGCCACCAGAACAAGAGTGAGTAAAGCAGTCTTCAGCTGAGAGAGAGAGAGAGGTCAGTTACATGCCATTTCTGCACTGACTTTGAAAATAATTGAAACTTTGGCTATAACAACACAAAATAACTTCTAAAGTTGAAGCTTAGAAATTTCACAGATCTGAATCACAACAAAAATGGGCATTACATATACTAATGCCAGTAGTTGCTTTCTTCCCATAATATGAACAATGAAACATATTCCAAGAGAGTTCCACAGAGAGATTCATCTCAATCTAAGAACGTATAAGCGACATTATCCTAAATTATAATAAACTTTCCAATCACAATGAAAAAAATTATCAAGGATTGGCATTCTAAATTTCTATTCAACAACGTATGAATAGTTCCTTGATTTTGGTTAATGGAAATCCAGTCAAGTCATACTCATAGTCAACTAACCACAAAATTCTTGTCTTGAGTGGTATGTCCACCTCCCCAAACGAAAAGTTGAGGGTTTAAGTCAGAGTATATGAAAGCTAGCACCATCTAAGTAAAGTTGGTGGAACTGCGCAGAAATATTACTGCCATCTACCACAGCCATAGTTATCATGTTATGTCTCAGCAAATTCTCAATCCTTGGCTGAATCCATAACCAATTAAAAATCAAAACCACTTCAGAGACTATACGCTGTGCCTTCGAATCAAACTATTTTCTGGATCCAAACTAAAATAGAAAACCTTGAATTCTGAAAATGATGAGGAAAAAAATACGTTCACCTATCAATTAGACAAATGAATTTGCAATCAAAATGTAGTTGGGTACTCCTCAGAAACTTCAATGATTGTCTAGTGTAGGGTGATCGCTTTAAGGAAATCAAGTGGGTAAAGACATGAAACCATAGCCTCAGAATATTGAGCATAAGATATATTTATTTATTTTTATCATAAGATAGTTGTTATCATTATCAATATTATACCTATACCTGACCTCACCATGAGGTATGGGGTAATAATGTGTCCCTAAAACTTTTGAAAAAATAAATCTTATTTAAAAACCCTAACATCCCATACAGTATAATAGATTATATGATTATACTCTTAATATTATTGTAAACATGATAAATTAAAGACATTAAAAAAATCACAAATCAATAAGAGTTAAAATGGTACCTATACCTGACCTCACCATGAGGTATGGAGTAATAATGTGTCCCTAAAACTTTTGAAAAAATAAATCTTATTTAAAAACCCTAACATCCCATAACAGTATAATAGATTATATGATTATACTCTCAATATTATTGTAAACATGATAAATTAAAGACATTAAAAAAATCACAAATCAATAAGAGTTAAATGGCAATTTACCCTCTTTCAATCACCCTATTTTCATTTCTATACCCTTTGCTTTCACTCTAAAATTTCTCCATTTCTCTCTAAATTTCTACTTTCTCCATCACAAGCCATATTAACTACTGCTTTCCACCCTCTCTCTCTCTCACTCTCTCTCTTAAGCTACTGCTTCCTTTCCTCCAACACTACCGCCCCAACTTTTTCCTTTTCCACACCATCACCATCTCTGCCACCAATTCTTCTGGGAATCTCCCATTGCCAGACCCTAACACCAAATTAAATGCAGCCATAATATCATTCAAAACAGATTGTGGAGGAGATAATCAGTGGACAAAATAGATTCTTACAACAGTGGGAGCCAAGTTGGATTCCATGCCCAATGATGGAGTCAATAGAGCAGCCTACAGATAACAGCCACTGCCTCTCTTACATGTTTCTCTCTCTAAACTCTCACCTCACCACTCCACCACCACCAACGCCCACTGCAATCCCCTCCATTCATCCCCGTCGTTTGGTCGCGTGGTATGCTTCCATATATTTAAAAAAAACATCTCACAGTTTAATAATGATATACAAGATTTGTTTTAATTCATATAAATTTTAGGTTGAAATGACCCAGCGAGAAACCAAAAGGTGGAGGAAATGGAGAGAGAGACAATTGATTAGATGGTGGTGGTGTTGGTGGCTTAACAAGGTGGCATTGCGTGTAATATTTTAGGTCGCAAATGCTTTGTAACCAGCATATAAATGTATAAATGCATATATATAATATTATGTAATATTGTATTAGATATATACAATAAATTTCAAATTTTTAGGTCCCAGTTGATTGAAAATTTTATTTTATATGGCTAAGCTATTAATGGTTAGAAAATGAGTCATGTGTCGGCATATTCCGTGAACAAAAGTTATGTCATGGTCTATATGTGGTGTCGCTTTAAAGGTTTGCATCAATGTTGAAAGCTATCATTGTAAATTAAAGACTGAGTCAAAGGATTGCATCTACATCTTGCTTTAACCTTCATCAGTCACACAATATATAGAAAAGGGTAAACTGGTAAAGTGCCAACCAACACCCCCCTGAACTTCCATCATTTTGCAACTAACCCGCTGTACTACAAAATACCCCTATAACTAAGTTAAATATACAAATGAGGCCACAGTGTCTAGCCGACGTTCATGGGCGATGGAAAATACCATTTGGCCCTTGTATGAAAGGACATTGTTCCATATTTCTCCCACTTAAATTGATGACAACCAATAATATTTTGCCAACCCATCTTAACCTAACCCATCCATTATTTGCATGTTTTAAGCAAAAATAGTCCATATATTCATTCAGTCGTCTTCTTCCATTAAAAACCCTAGTTTACACATGTACATAAATATATGTATTATATCTTCTAATTCCCACTCTTTTTCCACAAATTGACACAACCAATCCTCACTCTTTGATCCGCATTTGCTATTGCTTCAAAAATATGGAAGAGAACAGGATGACCAGATGCCAAAGATGATGCACAACCATCACAATGGACCACCACCACAAACTCCGGCAATCTAAATCCATTGACTTGTGCCATTACTAATTCTAACAACCAAACCACCATTTATCATTCTTACCAACAACATCTCTATTTTCATAATATTCTTCCATTAGGACTCAACTACTACAACCTGATCTTCATTCAATATGCTCTATTTAATATTTTGATTCTGTTTTAGAAATTTAGAGAAAACTCAGATCATTTTTGCTAGTTTTATTGAAAATGCACACATTGATTTGAACTTTTTTGATACAATAACCATAGGTTTGAAGTTCTTCGATTGAGTTTTGGATATAAATTAATTGCATATATAATAGCTGTAAATTGAATAGCTGTTCAAAGTGAAGTCCACATGCTTGCTCGCCCATCATCTCACATATTTAGCCTGGTCTTTTCCTTGGGCAGGGCATAGCATGTGAAAGCAAGAGAAATATAATTACTAATGCCAGAAAATTGAATGGATACTAGAAAATATAGTATAAAAGCTGCATTAATATCCCTACTCTCAAACAGGAAGGGAGAAATGTGAGCCCCAGCTTGGGCAATGTGCATGGGACTTACCTGATAAAATAAATCAAGCGTGATAATATAGGGAGTTTTCCGCAAAAATAGTAGATCGGGGGGTTTCTTGCAACTGGAGGTTTTCATTTTTTTTTTTTTTTTTTTTTTTTCCCAATCGCAACTAAGGTTCTTTGTAGAATACCCTATATTATTGTGTGATTGAGTTCTAAAGAAAGGAGCTTCATTGAATACTTGAAGATTAATCAACCTTACACCAACGCATAAAAGAATTGGACAACTAGTCGCTGAGACTGGAATCAGTGGAGAATTAAATTTGCAAGGAGTGGATGTTGTTGATGAGCAGAGGGAACGACCTGGGAACTTTTGGATAAAGTTTGGCATTATCTAGTATCAGGGAGGTAATTAGGGGATTCTTGGGGTAGAGTCAGTTAGTTAACCTAGGTTGTAAAACTTCTTTCTCGAATAGCAAATTTTGGTTTTCCTCAATAGCTCCCATGCTTTTTCACGTTGGGGTTTTCCACATAGATATAGGGTATTCTTGTGTGGTTGCGTGATTTATTTATTTCTGCTCTCTATACTTAACTGATTCATATTACTGAATTCCAAAATATAGTTATGACAATTTTAAAATTACTTATTGTTATTCAAAATATAGTTATGATAATTTTAAAATTACTTATTGTTAGTTAAAATCTATTTAAAATTACTTATTGTTGTTAACTTGTTTACATTGTACTAAAGTAGGAAAATGTTGTGTTCCAACCTCATTGCCTATTTGGTAATATATATGCAGTAACGTAAATAGTCCATTCATGAGAACACTCGAGGGTGTGTTGAAAGACAGTGCTCCCCACCTTTCTAACAGATAGAGCTTTTAAAGCAACAGCTTGCTAACAGTCATATATCTAAAGTACTGAGAATAACAAACATTTTATAATGAATGTTTTAAGATGCTACCACAATCAGAAAAGACGACTAAAAATCTTACAGAAACAGCCCTGTTTTAAATGCTAGTGGCAAAAAAAATTCCTAGGTTGACATATATGAGACATATCAACAAAAGTGAATACTTTCACGGCAGCAAATGAATTGGTGTGACTTAAAAAAACAAGAAATGACTCCGCCCATCCAGGGTGCGATGATGGCCACAAATAAAAGTAACTTTGAAATGGTAATTTAATTGCCATCACCATTCGCTTTGTTCGGACAAAAAAACATAAAATAAAAAAATAAAAAAAAAGTTTACCAGAAATAGAGTTGACACGTCTAAAACCCATAAAACTCCAATCATTGTTCTTGCTTCGCTATTTTCTGAAAAACACATGAAAGACTTGTCTCTCATACTCTTTGTTGTCAGTGACATTTTAAAATGAAATCGGATGTGGTGTGGTCCATTATTAATGTAAAACAAAATATCACTTCAAGATGAAAAATGGATCACCTTGGCATTTAATCTTAACGGCATAATAAGAAATTATTACCAAGAAATACATGGATTTTTTTGTTAGCAACGGAGATCTTTTCCAAAGAAAACAAAGAACAAATCGACAAATCAACAAGTGGAAATTACAGGATAAATTGATGTAACAACAAATAATACGCCTGATAGAAAGTGAATACACCAATGGAATTTTAGATAGAAATGAGATAGGGTGTATTGTGGAGAAAAAGAAGGGACGCCACAGACAAACACACCCGAACCGGGAAAAAAATAAATAAAGAAAAGGTGAGGGGGAGAGAGAGGAGAAGAGAGAAAATAGCTGTCAAATAGAAGGCATACTCGTACACATGCACCCTTCCTCCCTATTTGTGTACTCTTGCAAGCAAGCAAGCGCACACACAGATAGCGAGAGAGAGAGAGAGAGTTAATATAATACAACCAACATCCTAAAACCTACCTTTTGACTATCTATGAGAAAACTGACAGCTAAATGGTGGTGGTTTCAACTACAACTAGCAAAGACCTTTCTATTTGTTATGTTATCATGACTGAAACAAAATGCGCTAAAAACTTGAGAATTTCTAGCTGGAGCTCTAGCACATATTAACTATACAAGTTACTATAAAGAAAAAAAGAATTACCCATTGTATGCCCTGTCTATGAGGTGCTAGGAGGGGAAGATTAGAGACAGACCGAACTTCAAGCATTATTTTATACACAGTCACTGCTCTAAGACTTGTGAGCTAAAGTTTTTATCAGTGCAGAAGTTACTATAAGTATTATCATAATTCTTGATACTAACCGTGCTCTGAAAACTTGGCCACTCTATGTACTTTAGCTGGCTAGGCTGCTCAACCAGAAATACAAGTAAAGATTTCAAGGCCCTGGAATAATATAAAACATCAGTCACTCCATAGACATAAATTCCTTCTTTTCTATATCAATATATACAAGTGAATTTTGAACTTGTGGATAAAATCGATGTTAATTTAGAGAAATTCAACAAATTTAAATTTGGAAAAATAATATTAAGCACAATACCTGAAAGCTTCCTTTATCGGAGATAACCAAAAGGGCTCCATAGGGAAGTCATCATCAAAGCTCAATTCATGATGATTTCTTCCTACAAATGTAGCATGTCGGGTGCCAAAACCTTCTGCAGGAGAACATTGCATCCTTACTCTAGGAATCTGCCAAGTACAAACAAATTCTAAAATCCAAAATAGGAGTCATTACATGCCAGTTGCATGTATATATTCTAAGAAACACAGTGAAGTATATACCCTTTTGGGTACCAGTCGAATGGCATTGTAATCATTAGATCTGCTCCAATTATATTTCAAAATCTGGAATTGTAGTTTAGGATGAATCAAGCCTATAGAAAATCGAATAGAAGCAAATTAAGCAAACTTGTCCACAATAAAAATAATGAAAAGTAACAGCACACACATAAAAGGGGGGGCGCGGGGACAGGTGGGGGAGGGAGGAGAACCTGAGCAATATGACATTACTCCAGAAGTGATTGCCATCTTGTACCAATGTTAATCACAAATCTATTGAAAACAAGCATAAAAAACAGTTAAAATCCAAATTCTAAAACAACAATAATAATAATAAAATCGACCAGATGAAGAGAATTCCAATCATTTAAGCACAATACAGAGAAACAGATAGAGTTGCAATGAAGTGCCAATGTGCCATTATGTGATTATATAATAAAATGTAGTATAGTGATTTAATTCCTGTTAAGGGTAAATATATAATTTAAAATTCATGTTAAATAAAAAATTTGAAGTACATTTAGATGCAAAATACTTCTATAGTTGGTCAAGGACCAACATCGATTGATCAAACAAGTCATGGATTGATTTTTTCTATAGTAATTGGAGAAAAGATTCCTATTTGTTCTAGAACTCCTATATTGACTAGAGTTGTAATAAGTAGTCCGAAAATTGAACACATCCGACTACATTTATGTGAGTGGAGGAAGCCGTCATCATGATATCATACTCACATAATAAATTTGGATGTGTTCGATTTGACTCTCGGACTACTTATCCTTTTCCTATTGACTATAAATACATGCTTATAGTCAACCTAGGGTAATACAGATAACAAGAGGGAGAAATATACAACAACAATAACAACCAAGCCTTTTGCCAATTACTTGGAGCCAGCTACATGAATCCTATGTTTCCATTCCCCTCTATTTAAGGCCGTAACCTTAGTCAATCCACATGCTATCATATCTTTCTTTACAAACTCTACCCACATTAACTTTGATGGAAGAAATCTGTAGAGACAAAATATAAATTCCGTTCTATTTAAGGCCATAGCTTCAGAAAAATATAAATATATATAGAGATAAAATATATACTTTGGGATTTAAAACAAAGCAATGAATGCAAATGAAGACTCTAAACCATAAACCCAACTGACGTCGTTTTAAGAATAATGCGAGGAAGAACAACCAAAGGAAAACAAACGTTATTGGATTACAAGTTTGTTGATCGACAATGGCAGTGTTCAACTGAGAAATAATTTAACATTGAAAACATTAAAAAAAGAAAAATTATATTTTCTCTGTCATTAATAAACAATTGTCATCACTCTACGAAATAATTCAACATTGAAAACACATTTCTCTCCTGTTTCAAACACACATTTCTCCAATATAACAAAAATAATAGAAAATAAATTAGAGGAGATAAGAACCCTAGCCCTAATTTGGGGTAGAGCGAAGGAAAGTAAGAGTCCAGAGAAACCTGATTATCGGATGTCCTCCTACTTTCTTCTTTCCCTTCTCTTCTTCTCCTCCTCCCTCTCTTCCCCCCTCTCTCTCTCGCTCCCACGCTCGGTTTTTTTTTTTTGACGGTTGAAGAAATGGAGCAACACTGCATTTTCCATTTATTTCTCTTTAAACCAGAAGGTTTTTAAAAATTACATGAGATCTTGTTTTATAATTTACATTTACAGAGCTGACCCTGCCGTATCTTTGCGGAATTGCTGATTGTTGTGACATTTAAATTTTCGCTTATTGCAATTAGGGGTGACAATATTTAACTTCCTAATAAGAGCATTTTTAATGCAAAATGCTATTTTTTTATGCCAAAATTATATTTTGAGAGGAGTTAAACCATCTCCAATGCAAAATGCCATTTTTGCATGCTAAAACTATATTTTGAGAGGAGTTAAACCAATGCAAAATGCCATTTTTGCATGCCAAATCTATATTTTGAGAAGAGTTACAGTGTCAAAATGCTGTATTTTAACAATTCTGCTCCAATGGTGTATTTCCTTCAAAATGCTATTTTTTGACACAATAACCATTATTTTTCAACTACCATTTCCAACTATAATTTTTAACAACCATTTTTTTTTTTTTTAACATATTTGCCTTATTAAAAATAAATAAATAAAAATGCTAACATATATATATATATATATATATATATATATATATATATATATATACAAGCACAACAGACATATATATACATACATATATATATACACACACAACAGACATATACATATATATACACACAACACTGACATATATATATATACAAGCACAACTGACATATATATATACACAAGCACCACACCAAATTTGCAGCATGTAACGACCCGAACTCGTAGGTCCGAACCGTTAACCGGGTCTTTACCTGAACCCGAGGTTACCTAAGTCAATGCCATTAAGTCCAGTGCTCTTACATCATTATTATATCTTATATATGATCCATTAAGGCCTTAAGCGACCTTCCAAAACTCGTGGTTAACTGTACTAGAAAGAAGGAGCAAAGTGTGTAAACAACAGCAAACTGGTCGACCGAAATAGCTCCTGTACCGGTCGACTGAAATGGCCATTTCGGTCGGCCGGTTATGATCCAAACAGTAAATGAGGCTACTCGAAGTTTCGGTCAATCGAAGTGCCCATTTCGGTCGGCTGAAATGGCTCTGCGAATTGGAAAATCTACAGAAAACTGCTATGAACATGAGAGTGAACAAAAAGCTACTATGAAATCTTGCAATGAACAAATCCTGTCCAAACATATATGAAATCATAAAATACGGGTTACAACATTCATTTAAGTCCGTTAACAACATGATCATACATGATTCTTCATAGTCTTTACAATTTGCTTAATTTACATCAAGTTAATATCAAGGCTCATAGCTACATTACTTGGCCAAGCTATAAAAACTCTATACATTTACATAGTGATGCTTTACAAAAGAATGGACTCAAAATACAAAGGATGGCAACCTGAACTTCTAGCCCCTTTTTGAACTTGCGGAGGATACTCTTCCACCACTTCTTTTCCTGAACCTAAAAAATGTTAAAATGACAGGGCGAGCTAAACGCTTAGTAGGAAGTGTCTAAGACACACCTCTTACAACCCCGTGAATCCACGCAATGCATAGGGTAAAAGTAAACGGGGTTATGTCAATCGGGGAAAAACACAACAACGACAACAATATCATCAAAACTACAAAACAGATCGTCCAACCATATGTATACAATGCATGTCAATGTAATGCAACGTCATGCCAATGTCACTCACCATTTCTGAAACATTTCCATTTCAACTTCCAAACCATTAGTGCAATCTGACCCAAGAAACCTCCAAGGCGTCACGAAAGGAGGATTGGCTAGCTTTCCCCGACCACATGGCACCTCTATGGCGTCGTCTAGGCCTAAGTAGCTCAACCATACTAGCTCCCTAGTCCCCTTTAGACCATACTAACACCACGGACCACTAGGCGCGGTTTTCACAAACACTTTTCAAAACTTTTCCCAAAAACGATTTCATTTATTTTTAAAACACTTTTCCTTCCTTTCTTCCCAATGAAATGCATGCATGAGCTCATGCTTTCACATGCCAAACCAACAATTAAGTTTTACACATTCCATCAACATCATATTCACATTTTGAGAAGAAATTCTAAACATTTATTTCCACAACTAAAAATCTCAAATTTACATGTTAATGGGTAATGAAGATACCAAGAGAGGGGGTGAATTGGTATCTTATGAGATTTCTGTAACTTTTTATCTTAAAGCACAGTGATGGAAACTCAAATGAAATGCTAAGATTGTCTCACACCAGATAAATGAGGTAAAACCCCCAGTGTGGGGGAAACGTCCTCGGGGCTATGAAACCCAACTCGTAAACCACTATGAATGAAAAAGAGTACACCAACTCTCAATCTCACTCACCAAACTCACATACAAGTCATTATTGCACTCTCCCGTGTCCATAACACCCTGTGTTAGGACCACTCACTAATCTCACAACAATCACTCCAGCACTCCCCCTGTTCACAGCAACCCAATGCTTGAACCAAGAGCTCACCAAATTACTCAACAAGAAAATATTATAAAATGATGGTGTTCTCTCAAGTTTTACAAGATAAAAGTTAAATAGACATAAAACTTGAAAAATAGATTTCATAGCCCTTACATGATAAGCAATGCACACCGCTTCTGGATTTGATCATTTGTAAATTAGTCCAGTAAATAATCCTTCATGATTTGTTAAGACAAACACCTTTGTATTTTCTCCCAAACTCACTATTGCTCACTATTGAACTCACTAAGTTTATCAGCTTTAAAGCTTCAAAGCTTCAACCGAAGATAATGCTTGTTTGAACGGAGATGGACTGAAACTCGCTTGAAACTGCTTCTGTAGAGTGAACTGCACCGGACCGGAAGTAGGAACTTTGTGAAGTTCGCCGAAACAATTTAGACTCTGCCACTTGCTGGGTATGATTGAAACTCACTGGTGGTTGGAGCTTGTGATTTGCTCACCGGAACTTGACTACAAACTTAGAGATTTGCCGGACTGGTACGCTGTTGTCTGGGCTCACTGGACTGAGTGTGTCTATCACCGAAATGATGGAAACGGTTTTGAATGTCACCAGAATGAGGTCTTCACGCTGATAGAGATTTCAGCTCACTGGTGTGGACGTTGTAGCTCTCCGGTGTCATCACTGTGGCTCTCCGGTGATGGGTTCTTCAATGAAGCTTCGGTCAAAAAGGGTCTTCACTGTTGCTCCGATTTAGACTACAATCAGGCTCACTCTTTTGATGTTCATCTTCAAGCTCTTTGAAAATAGTCTATATTCAGTTTTTTTTTTTTTTTGAGAGCTCTCTTTAACAGATGCACACCTAATCTGTACATATATCTCTGAACTATAAAGCCGTTAGAGAGATAAAGCACCAGCTTCTTACAGCCACATAAAAGCTATCCAAGCAGTGGATTAATCACAGCCCTTGACTTCAAATAAAAGCTGACCAGATAACTTATGGCCGTTGGATCACTTTAGTTAGCAGATCATATACTCTTATATAATAAGCTTCATTTAAGCACAACTAGCAAACATTCCATGTCCTTGATATTGAAGTATGTGGAATGAATGGACATAGAAGACACTTGGTTATCCTTGCAATACATCTGCATATACACACATGGACTAAAAGAAATATTAAAACAATTGTTAGTACACACCTGATAATAACATATAAATATAACTAAAATAATACCCAACAATACTTAAGATAAAAATGAGATGTCTAGTAAAATTAATTTTACATTAAATGAGCAAACATGATAGACCTATGGATAAACAGGTAAACATTTAACATACAACTTATTAATATTGAGCATGCTTTTGATCATAACAAATTAATTAAGTACATAGGCTCAATTAACTACCACATTACTTATCACCATGAACACAACTAAATACAATTAGCACATTCAAATAACTAAGACTAAGCATGCATACAACCAACTTTGGAGAAGACAATTCACAAAAAATCAAAGAAATTGTGAATTAGAACACCCCTATGGATGAGCGCTGAAAAGTGCGTATTTAAACCCCTTAAGCTTAAGTATTCTAGGACATTTATATATCTTATTTTCCCGTTTTAGACTAATTTCGTGTTATTGCCCTTTTCAGGCACTTATCTCCAAAATAAGTCAATTCAGCCAAATTAGAGTATAAAAGAAGTAATCTCAAGCTAAATGGAAGAAATGAGCAAAGTGGAAGCAAAGTGGTGGAAAACAACATTTTTCGATCGATCAGACAAATCTTCGATCGATCTCACAGTGATCAATCCAGCCTTATCAAGATGGATAGAGCCTCTTGTTCTTATTCCCAAGAATTTCCATCTTCGATCGATCTAACATCATTTCGATCGATCGAACTTCTTTGATCTTATCCCCACCTACCACTTTTGTCTTTTTTCCCAAATATCCCAAAAAATATCTCAGATTTGTCTTATTCCAAAAAGGCGCCGCCATAGTTCGATTGATCTCATCAGAATTCGATCGATTGAACTTCCTCAAGTTAAAAAAAAAATAGAGTCCAGCTCATTAAATGATGGCTCGTGGTACAATCATTGAAGGGGCCCTAGTGCACGAGGCTTGACCATTGGGTGTGACACTTGAGCTGCCTATATAAGGATTTTAAGTCATTTATACAACATAATAAGATAGAGGGAGATATACAATCTTAGAGAGAGAGGCTAGAGGAGTCTAGAGATTAGAGAGATATACACTATTTGGGAGTTCTTCCATTCATCTAGGGTTTCCATCAAGAAGAAGATCATTTCTACCATGGAGATGGCCCTTGAGGGTTGGATGACTACATCAATGAGTGGCTAAACATCTTCTTGGGGCTAGAGTTAGTCCTAAGCATGCCTTTTAGATCTTGATGTTTTGTATTTTGAGGGAATTTGTGTTGTAATTCTTGTCTTGACATTTGATTTATATATGAATCTTGTTTCTACAATGATTTGTGTTGTTTAATACTTCCAATTGATCATTTCATTCTACTTATATGTCTACGTATGCTAGAATTAGATGTTCATGTGTTTATCTCTA